ATCTTACTCTCCGCCGAATAAATGAAAGAAATTAAAGGAAAAAAGCACACCTTTTTTTTGGGTTTTTTTGAATTTTACAACGTACTAGTACTAATCGTGCCGCTTGGCACGAAACGAAGCAAGTAACAAGGCATATGTGCTATTGACCAAGCGTGAATTCAAATTAAGTGGATGGATATGGCTGAGTTTAATCTTTTTTGTGTCTTCATGGACCGAGACAAATTATCGGTTATCAAAGACACACAATAGAACGAGGCAATATCAAGCCATCTTGACTGAACAAGCGTAGCCAATAACGTATTTAATGTAGAGAAAAAATATTTCGCTCCAATAAGAATCAAGAACGAGCCATGCCTCTTTTCCTTCCGAGCGTTGGGAAAGAGATGTAACTATAATGGCGCTTGCTCGTTCTTCATTCGAAAACTTGAAAAATAAGTTGATTTGATCGGTTTACAATCGACGACGATGATTCAACGTTCCAAATCTCAGTTGAAATTGATAGGAAGTCGCACAAACTCCCGAACAAAGCAGGCATCACGAATGCAAAGAGGGGCCCATTCAAACAGAGTACAGGATTCGCTTCATTTTGCCCTCGGGTGCTGCAAACAATAAAATAAAAAGACTAATGAGGCGTCGATTTCCGAGCTTAAGATAATTATCTCCCTACACAGGATAAACTACCATGTTTTCACTTTTAAAGCTCTTGACGTGATGGTAGCGGAACGATAGCACGATGACATTCACTTCATCAAATTCACCCATTGTTGTCTCTTCTCGCCTTACCAACCCTTTGAAATCTTGGTTAGATTAAATTTCTTGCATATCGTTAGATGAACAGCACATCCTTTGAACTGCTTCAGTTCGCTCATGAAGTATTGCTATGTTTTCAATGATAATAAGATGCCGCCCCTTGTAATTACTCCAAGCCTTCTTTTGTACTCTCAAACTTGTCATGTTATGACGTGTGACGCTCAACGTTTTCCATCTGAAAATTTCAGTTAAAAATTTTCAAGATTATAATTCGAGGTCTTCAGCCCAATTCTCTATCCTTGTTTGATCCTGAACCCATTTTTTTTTGTTAGCCTCCTACTTTGGATGGGTCCGTCTTATTATGAAAGAATTTGAAATCGATGGCCTCCTCTTTAGACAATTTTTATACTGAATCGTCCCCTTTCTATTTTCTCATGTGTAGCATCCTTTTCCGTTCTTACTTAGAGAAGTTAAGCTCTCTTGCTCGGCTAAGAAAAAGCCTTTCACGCCCGCTAATTAGTTATTTCCCAAAAGTTCTCTTTAGCCAATCAGAATTGATACAAACGATTTAAGGGCCACCCTCAGTCAGTGTGCTTTGCGCGCCGTTGTTAGTGTTATTTTCGGGGAGCTCAAAACCTTCTCTCACAAACCCACGAAGCGGCAAAGAATACCACAACGGCAGTTACCTTTGCCACCATTTTCATGGAAAAACAAAAAAAAGGGTATTATTACCTAGAGTAGAACTTAACCGCTAGTTTGGAAAAGGTATATTGACGACGTTTCCTGTCTGTGGAGCAGAACTGAAGACAAAATAGAAGAATTTGTAAGACAGGACAACAGCAACTGTTTATTGTAACATGATACAATATCTTACTCAGACACAAAAGTATACGAAAACGAAAGGTTTAACATGGTATCGACCCTGGACGTCCAAACGCATCACAGAGAGACGTAGATGTTCGAATGCTTGAGTTTTTATTCGTGTCATTGCCGAGATTAAATTTTGTAGAAAAGTATCTCTGAATTTTATTTCACCGAGAGAGAAAGCTCACTCAAAAATTATACGGGATTAGGCGTGTGTTTGATTGTTAAAAGTTTCCCCGTCTGACGGCCACATAAGTGCAGAGAGGTGCTATCTTTTTTTAATTTTATCCGGAATACTGTGTAGCAGGGCTTCGGCGAACTCGCTGTTAGTTTACTTGCCAAATTCTAAAGCTGTCTTTCGCTCATTCCATGCTTCTAAAAATTTATTTAGTAAGCCATATAATTTGGCAGCCTTCCATCCCTGCAGGACGACCTCTTTTCGATAGCTTCATTATCGCGAATGGGAAATGAAACGACAGGAATACGAGGCAGATAGACGACAGGCACTTAAAGAAACTAGCCGGTGCTTGATTACCGCAAGGTGGCTAGGAAAGACTTTTGAAAAATTCTCAAATTTTAATGGGGTAAGATAAGAACATTCGAACAGGGCGTCACGAAACCGGAAACAAGTCAGTTATAAGGAAAACTTCCGGTTTTATGGAGAACAGGAATGGCGAACGGGAAGGCTGTGTTATCTTTCGATCTTTTTGATCGTAGTTCAACCTTTAAAATACTTAGACATAGGCCCAAGGTATTTTGCGGAAGTTAACAGCAATTGATCGTGAAGTGTTGGCTGAAAAACTTTAAATCAATTCAAAGTTGAACAATTGACCAGAATCAACGAAGGTCTCGGTGTAACTATTTCTTAAGAAGCCATCAGCGTGAAACTTAAAGAAAAATACGAGTTCCATAACGATTTGCTCGTGTGAGTGGCCATGATGCTGTGTGTTACAGCGCAAGCTCGAAAGACGGATGTCGACACGGAGGCAAAATGAATGCGCATGTTTCTAACAAACGAAAAATTTTACAAGCACAAAGGAGAAGGAACGACAATATTTTGCCTCTATATTAACACTAGAGAGGCAAAATTACGGTATTTTTTAAAATTTCCGTTGTTTGTTTTCATTCCGCGGGGATAGGCCCAAACTAAAACAGATAAGGTTGCAGTTTTCAGGAAAGTTTCTGTCAAATCCCCTCCGTCACACATCTCACTCCACCGAAAAAATATTGCGGTAACAGGTGTAGAGCATTCGTAACATGGCTAAGAAGTTCGTGGCACCTCTTAGCGCTTTAAGGCCTCTGGACTTTATCACCTCCTCAGTAGGAGTCATTCAAAATCTTTTCTCTCTAAATCCATTTATTGTGCATCATTAGAATAATACAATGACAGTATATTTGTATAGACACCAAAATTATCAGACATCTGTTATAATCAGGAAAGTTGTATAATGTAACTAAACTAAAGAATTAAGTAAAACATGAAACTGCAATCACTCGCACGAAGACTAATCCCTTAATAAAGAAACTAAGATGAACCCTTTCACTCCCTCCCTACATACATACATACGTACATACATGCATACATGCATACATGCATGCATACATACATACATGCATACACCCATACATATATATATATATATATATATATATATATATATATATATATATATATATATATATATATATTTATATATCTGAAAGTTGGAGAAATTTCTGACTCTAGGTTTCATGTTTACGCGATCATATATATATATATATATATATATATATATATGTTATATGAATGTATATGTGTATGGGTGTATTTATGTATGTAAACTAGGGCATATTAGTTTGATAAATATAGCAACACAAACGATTTCTAATCAAACGAGAAGAGAGTTTCTACTGAGATCGCGGGAGTAAAAGGGTTAATCGAAAGCTATGACTGATATAGTGTGCAGTTGTACTAAGTATTATTCCAAGAAAATCCAACTTTACACGTTAATACAGTGACGTTACACAAGCTTAATTAGTTTAAACTCTCCAGGCTTATTTTCCAAATCCTACATCACATAATAGTCAAACTTACACAAGGTAAACTAACTACAAGAGAAACACAAATGCTAGTTACTAAAATATGCAAAGTTGAGATTGATATTGAGATTATTTCCCCTCAAACAGCTGGGATACAGCAAATCTGAAACTTTAGACCACATCGTGGCCTCTGCATCTCAGTGTAATATAAAACCTAAAATCTGAATAAGATACATTCAGAATTTCTAAAATTATGCTAGGGCAGGCTTTAAGCACAATTTTTTTTTTAACAGGATCTATGTATCTTTAAAGATAGATAGAAGCCCTATATCCTTTTGCTTTAGTTTTTTCTCAAACCTTCACTGTGAATGAGTGAGTTTTTGATTAAACATTTAAAATTTTCAAACCCCTTTTGGTTGAACGAAACAGCTAATATCCCTCGGAACTGTAACAATTTTTTTTTTCTACGGTATCACTACTCACAATACTTTATCGGATCGGAAAAAATATAGCCCAGTAAATCGAATATAAATGAACTCTTAGGCAAGCCTTTATACAATGTAAATACGCTTGAGAAATAATTCTCTCGTCTTCTCACTATGCAATTCATAGTCATTGTGTTCGTTTCTAAGATTGTACTCTCAGTATTTTCAATACTTTTCATTTAAGTGAATCTAACAAGTCTGAGATTCGGTCACATTAACAGTGGTAGTTAGTTCCTCAAATAATTCTTAGAATGGCAATCTCGACAATGACAGAATAAGAATCAATTTACAAGGACTAGATTCTACTTAAAAAAAAAAAAGCAACAACCCACCATTTGACAAGATAATACCACTTTATATGAAAACGTCATTCATACGTGCTATAGAGAGAAATCATCAAGGTTTAGTGCACGGCCCCTTTTCTTAAAAATGGCGGATCTTTCCTTCGCTTGGGAAAAGTCTGAGGCCCTAAAGTAATAATAAAAGCAAGGTGACCAAATTCCTAGTAATGCATAATTAAAAAGGAAGAAAATGAGGAAAGGAGTGGACTGTCTCTTTGGTGACAGACATCGTCAGTGACATGGTAGAGGAGTCATGGTGCATTTTGCAATCTTGGCAAGCAAGTAAAAAAGCAAACAAAAAATAGTTACACTTCCACTGGTCCACAGAGTTGGTCTTTCTTTATTTCTTCGCAACATTAAGGATAAATGTCTTATTGACACGATCAAATTACTATAAGTTAAACAGTAAAGCCTTGACAAGTAGTGAGTACAATAAACAAAGTGTGAATACAGGAAAAAAACTATATATTACACGCCTTTGAGTCCGCCGATTTGAAAGGTCTCCAGTTTCAACGACCAGCGATTTCAATTCAAAATTTCCTCATTCCAATGCACTGAACTCGAAAGTGACGTCATCGCCAATCAGCAAAAACGGAGCCCAGAATTTGATTTTATTGAAATTCTCGGATTCCCTCAGACTCTTCGTGGCCAGGTGTAGAGATTCGCTTGAACGTTTTCCTTGCGTGAGGTGATGATAGAAGCATTTCATGAACTCAAAAGTAGCCTTGTCATCAATCGCCCACAGGGACACCAGAACAGAACGAGCTCCAGCACCCATAAAGGCGCGCGCTATGCCGACTACACCTTCAGCCTTGATTTCGCCCCGACCACTGTGACAGCAACTGAGTACAACAAGTTTGGCGCGAAGTTGAGCGTTCATCACCTCTGCAATTGTCAAAACGAAATCTTCCTTGGTGATTTGCGAGGATAATCTCTCTGGGTCAGGTGTTAGAGCAATTTCGCCAGTATCCATGCTCCCATGGGCTGCAAAGTGAACTAAAGCAACAGAACTGAGTCTTTTCAACACCTCACGCTTCGTTGCCTGTCTCTTAGTGATTGGTGTGACATTTAGAATCTCCCCGATCATTTCTACTTCCTTTTCAGCAAACGGGAGCTGCTTGAAGATTTTTTCTCCATTGGGGTAAGTCCATGGAATGTCTGTTACCCACGGATCTCCAACAAGCAGCGCACCAGTTCTACTGTGGTAATCATCTGGACACTTGGCAATGAGTCTGAGACTTGTCAGAGATGGAGCAAGTCGGATTCTGAACGATTCACACAAGTATTTGGAATCAGCATCCTTGAATGCAGCGTAAGGAGCAAGCCAAAAGGGTCCATCGGGAACAATGACTAGCTCATCGCCTTGAACCAGATCGGTGATTGGTTGAATAATGAGGTTATACAAAGTGCTCAAACAATCTTCTTGTTGAGCAGAAGGTTGAGGGCTTTCCTCCTCAGTCCTCTCGTTCTCTTTTGAGTTGCTTTCTCTCAGAGCATTCAAAGATCGATCCTCGCATGCTATATCTACATTAACACCAATTGCTGCATAAGCATTTAGGATGACAGCCTTAAAGGACTGGGAAGGACCACCATTCTCTGAAACCGTGCGTTCTACGTTGCTTTGTTTGAAGTGAATTTCTTTTCCTTGAAGGATTACCCAGAGACTAACGTCAGGATAGTCTACTGCCTGAAAAACAGTGTTTAATGGAAGGTAACTTAAAAGTTCCAATAGTTCATCTTCTTCTTCGGCAAGGTTCTTTAAAACTGCTAAATCTTTATTACCTTCTTCGGACGGGCCTACCCCATCATAAAAACTGTATTCCATGAGGTCAATCAGAGCTTGTGCTCTTCCTTTCTCCGCAGCAAACAAGGACTCGTTTATATTACCTTGTTTCACGAGTGCTCTCCAAAAGCCCGTATAAGCTATCTGAGCTTTATTTCTAAAATTAACTTTCCATTCATCCTTCGATTTGAGAAGGCTTCTCATAGCATCGTAGAGCGCTATACTGGCTTTGTAATTTTCAACGGCTTTTGGCAGTCGGCCCTGAGATTCGAAAATGGAAGCTAATAAACAGTAGGCTGCTGCCTCTAATGATTTGTCCCCGACTTCTTTGGCAATGTTGAGCTGTCGACTGCAAAAGTCTATGGCCTTCATCAGATCGCCCAAAGCTAGATAATCATTTCCAAGGCTGCCGTAAGATTCACCCTCCCCATGCCTGTCCCCTATTTCTTTAGTTATTTCAAGAAAAAGGTTGTGGTACTCTATAGCCTTTGTGAAATCTCCCAAACTGAGATACACATTGCCAAGATTGCAATAAGCTTCACCCTCTCCACGTTTGTCTCCAAGCTCAGTGGTAATTTCAAGATGTAGTTTATGGAACTCTATAGCGTTTTGGAGATCACCCATACTAAAATAAGCAATGCCAAGACTACCATAGGCACCCCCCTCGCCACCCTTGTTTCCTATCTCTTTAGTAATATCAAGATGTAACTTGTGGTACACAACAGCTTTTTTGGAATCCCCCAGACTTTGATAAGCACTACCAAGATTGCCATAAGCTATACCCTCACCATGCTTGTCTCCTATTTCTTCGGTTATTTTAAGATGTAAGTCGTGGTACTCTATGGCTTTTTTAAAATCTCCCAGACTCTCATAAGCAGAGCCAAGATTGCCATAAGCGCCACCTTCCCCATGCTTATCTCCTACTTCCTTACAAATATCGAGATGTAGGTTTTGGTACTCTATGGCTTTTCTGAAATCTCCCAGACCCTTATAGGAAGTGCTTAGATTTCCATAAGCACTAGCCTCCCCAAGCTTGTTTCCTACTTCCTTCATAACATTAAGATCTAGGTTATGGTACTGTATGGCCTTTTTCATGTCCCCTAGACATTCATACGCATTGCCAAGATTGCCATAAGCACTACCCTCCTGATGCTTATCTCCTACATCTTTAGCAATTTCAAGATGTAGGTTGTGATACTGTATGGCTTTTTTGAAATTTCCCAGTCGTTTGTAAGCATTGCCGAGATTGCCATAAGCAGCGCCCTCCGTATGCTTGTCTCCTACTTCTTTACTAATTTCAATACATAGTTCGAGGCAGTGTATAGCTTTATTGATATCGCTCAGACTGTAATAAGAAATGCCGAGATTGCCATAAGCATTTCCTTCCCCATGTTTGTCTCCTATTTCTTTGGTAATTTCAAGATGAAGGTTGTGGTAATTCAAAGCCTTTTTGAAATCTCCCACACTGTCGTAGGCAATACCAAGGCTACCATAAGCACAACCTTCCCCATGCTTATCGCCTACTTCTTTACATATTTCAAGATGGAGGTTATGGTACTCTACTGCGTTTTGACATCACCTAGATTGTGATAAGCATTGCCAAGGTTGCCGTAAGCTCTACCCTCACTATGCCTGTCTCCTACTTTTTTGGCAATTTCAAGATGAAGAGTGTGGTAGTCTATGGCTTTTCTTAAATCACCAAGACATCTATAAGCAATTCCAAGATTGCTGTAAGCACCACCCTCGTTACGCTTATCTCCCATTTCCTTAAACAATTTAAGACACAAATTGTGGTACTCTACGGCTTTTTTGAAATCACCCAGCTTTTGATAAGTATTGCCGAGACCGCCACAAGCTTTACCCTTCAAAGGCGTGTCTCCAACTTCTTTTGCAATATGAAGACACATATTGTAGTAGTAGAGAGCTTTTTTTAAATCTCCCACTTGTTCGAAAGCATTTCCGAGGCTCCCATAGGCGTATCCTTCCCCAGCCTTGTCTTCTCGTTCTTTTGCAATTTTAAGATTTACATGATAATTGTTTAAGACTTTCTCGATATCACCTGAAGTGTTGAAGGCAATATCAGGGCCACCGTGATCTTTTTCCTCCACGAACTCTCCCGCTAGTTCTTTGACAGACTGGGTTTTTAACGTCAACAGGATCTTGTTATTGTAGTCGATCTTCTTTACGTTAAGGTGTATAAGAAACATTTAACAGACATGAGGTAAACAACTATTTCAAACAAAAATATTTCATTGAAATAGGCAAAACAGAAAAAAATAAAATGAAAAGCTGAATAGGAACTACATAAATTGTTAGAAAACATAGTCCTAAAATCTAATTTATCTAAGAATATCTTCTTTTCTTACTTACTGTATACTTAATCAATATCAGCTTTTAAAATCAACGGTCACATCAGAGACGAGAGGTCAGCGCGGTGACTTGTTGGGCTTCTTAATTGGGTATATAAACCTCTCTTTGGTTCGAATTTTTAGGAACAAAATAGATTTATATCTTACACATATTGTTAAAACCACTGCTGTAGCTGTAGGAGAGGAAGACGACGAACACGAGAACGAGTTCGACACAGACAGCGAACAGGAAAAACGGTTCTTTTCGAACATACTCAAGGGCTCTTTTCAGAGCCACCCGATTCTTATCAGAACCACCAAATCTAAGAAAAGTCAATGATTAACATTGAGTGTCCTTTTCCTGCCTTGTTTAGCTGTAAGTTCTGCTAAAATTGTTATCTTCACATATTTTGTTGCGCGAAGATACTCCGCTATGAGACGCACGCCAATTTTAACGTTAACTTTCCACCAAAAGACACATGTTTCTTTAAAAAACCGTGCGCCTTATAACTGAGCGACTACGGTAATTTCCTATTTCGTATTTTCTGCCATAAGAAGTCAGGTCGAAAATTTTAATTTAAAAGAATCTTTATTTACTCAAGAAATTAGAACTGAAGATTTTTCAAAGGATACAGCTAATCCCTTATCACACCAAGTGATGGCCTCTTCAAATTTCTTCAGTTCAACACAGACAGTGGCTCCTATAGGCAACATGATGTTATCATTAGTGCCAAGAAGAGAAACAGAGACCAAAATTGATATTGATTCGCTACAAACATCCTTTGAATACATACATGTTGAGTGGAAACAGTCTTTTTTAAAACTTGAAGCAACAAACTTACTCACCTCTAACAATTGCCTTGAGGAATGTTGGTTGTAACTTAGTCGCAGCTTCTGCGTCACTCAGTGAATCCTGATAATTTCCTGTTTTTAAATAAATATTGCTATTTAGGTCAAGTAAACCCACAAAATGTAAGGTAATTGTTAAAAAATGTACTAATGTGGTGCATCTGCACTCATTGATTTGTGCCATGATAAGAATTAAGTAACCATACTGCTATGCATGTTTGAGGGCTCAATCCTAGTGTAATTTGTTTTGAAAAAACCTTATTTTTGAACTAATTCCTGATTATAGAAACCACTAAAGTCCTAAAAAACTGTATATTTATGCTTCTCACCTAGTTTGAAATGTGAAATTGCCCTGTTGTTATACAGCTTGGCTTGTAGTTCTTTGTCATTGCATTCAACTTTGATTCCTTCCGTGTAGAAGTGGATAGCATTGAGGAAATCTCCTTTCTTGAAGGCCTCGTTACCCTGATTCCTATAAACATCAGCAATGGCTGCAAAAAATAAATAAAAAATAAGCAAAGACTTATGTCAATGTCTTGACATCTGGTTTGTTCTGTGGGTAGTTTATTCGTGTAAAAGTTTTCACCTTCTCACAAATTGGGTAAAGAACAAAGATCAGAAATTAAATTACTCAAACAAAACCTTGACAAGAGACTTTAATTTGAGTCTTCTGAGTTTGGGGGAAAAGAGTAGACCAGTTAATGCAAAAAGGGGAGGCAGACAGTTCTTAAACCAGATATCCAGGTGACAACTCAAGGCCTAGGCAACTAATTAAAGTGGGCATTAACCCTTTAACCTCTATCAAACATTAAATAAGTCATGAGAATTATAGGAATGAATGTGAACTCAAGAAGCTCTTGATTGTTCAACAAATTCTGCTTTTAAGTAACATAGGAAAGGACCATTTAGAACAGTATAGGGAACTTGCACGTCAATGTTAGGGTTCAAAGGGTGAAGAACTATCCCAAATATTCTTTTGAGTGCTCGCATGGTCTTAAATCCTTTTCTGTGTCTCAAAGTAATTCCCCAATGGAATTGATATCTTAAGGTTAACTGTGATAAGGACTGAGTACCTTGCAGGGTGTCCTCGTCAAAGTCCAGGGCATCTTCCTTTTCAGGTCTGACCTCATTTTCACATGAAACTGTGATTAGATTTCTTTCCAAAGCCATTGCAAACCTGAGAGGATGCTTCTTACATTTAAGTTTCTGTTTCACATTATTCTGGCCTGAAGAAAGAGAAAGGTGTTAAAACTTTGCCCAACTACAGTTAATTACTATTAGCTCTAATTTGATCAACCAGTAGCAGATGAGATTTACTGACCATTCAGTGATCAATCATGTAGTAATTGAGATGCTCAATTAAACCTTTTGTGTTGTGCAATCTTGCCTATTTTGTGCCTCAATATTATTTCAAAAACTTAAATACATACTATTAGTTAATTTAAGTACCTTATTATTAGTACATCTAATTTCCTCTAAGATTGAAAAAGATACATTCAATTTTACCCATAACAACAATCTGATGGACTGAAAAAGGAGCAAAATAATTATATATAAAAAGGTCAATTCACCAGAAGGAAAGATAACTTATCAAACAAAATTCACTTAAATTTTAAGATTTATGAAATACATTCTTGACTGATATGGGCAAAAGTTCAACAGCGGTGTGGAGCAAGTTCATAGTTTACAGCAAAAATTTAAATAATCTATACTATAAGGCGGAGGTGAGATCTCATGTTGCAAGCTTAAGTTTATGTGAAATATCACCCATTACTGGGTGATGTTCTTTTAAATTATGAAAATAGTAATTTGGTACAGGGACAGTTTTGCATTTTAATAGTCCATTTTACAGCTGTGGGCTTGGTTGCTGAGCCTTTTAACAGGAGTGAGGCTTAGGGTGATCTTGTTATGATACAAATCTTGCTGCTTTTCAAATGCAAATTGCCATGTTATTATGCTAATGAGATACTGATTTCTATCACTACAAGGTTACCTTTAGCCTCACTCCAAATCAAATCAAAGTACACAACTGTAAAATGGCCTATTGTGGTCAAGCTTGCTTATTAAGTACAAGCAATTTAGCATCAACAGACCTACCCTACTAGTTAAGTTCCATATTGCAAGTAAAAGTACAATGATGTCATGTTAGGTACTTACCCTAAAAATGGCCTATTGTGGTCAAGCTTGCTTATTAAGTACAAGCAATTTAGCATCAACAGACCTACCCTACTAGTTAAGTTCCATATTGCAAGTAAAAGTACAATGATGTCATGTTAGGTACTTACGTTATTGAGGCACAAAATAGGCAAGATTGCACAACACAAAAGGTTTAATTGAGCATCTCAATTACTACATGATCGATCACTGAATGATCAGTAAATCTCAACTACTACTGGTTGAGCAAATGGTGAGTAAATCTGACCACAAAAACTGCTGAGAGTTACATCACACATATGCATTCAGCTATTGCTAAATAGTAAGCTTGATCATGGACATAAATATGACAGCAATCTTCACAGTCATGAACACCACTTAAGCAGTGGTGAAAATAAGACAAAAAAAAAATTCAGGCCTCAATGGGATTTGAACCAACAACCTAGATCAATGGCCCAGTTTGTTAGCACATACACATAGACAACATTTGCATTCTTAGAAGCAATTTGTCTTCCCTCCAAACTATCTATTACCTTTTTTGCTTGTCATAATATCTTCACAGGTTTTCTTCTAGACAGCCTTTTGTTTTTTAGTTTAATATTATGTTTGAGTATTATTTTCTTATTTGCACATATATATCATATAGGAAGTGTGTATTTATGAAAATGTAAGTTAATTAGTAATCTTGCAATAATAAAGGCTGTGTTTGTCCCAAACATTGTTTGGATTTTTGCTTTGTGGTTAATATACTTAGAGACACATCATTATACAAAACAACTGTTGATTTTCGAATGGGGATTAATGACTTCAATGTCCTACAATTCATTAGCAGAGAAAAAAATGAAAGGATACTTTTCCAACAACAACAAAAAATAAATAAATAAAACAATAATAATAGCAGAAAGAAATCAAAACCTTAAAAAATTCATTTATTAAAAACAGTACAGTTAGCCAAGTTGAGCACAAAAATCCAAGACAATGAGTGATTGTAAGATATACCTCTGTAGTCATTGGCTGGTAAATTCTTGAAAATTTTCCCATCTCAACTCACCTTTGGAAGAATTAATTCAAGCAATTAGTGAATTTATTTCGATCAAATATAAAATACCAGTAATTAAGTTTTTGGTAATTAATATATTTAATTGCTTGCTTCGGACAATAATATCGACTGAAAGTCAAGTGTAGGCTTAAAAGAAATAAAGTTTACACACTAAAGTTGGGAAGATTCATTTATATTTAAGGGTGATTTTAATAAAATAATTATTCCAATCGCGCTTGTTGGATATGAGATGATTAAAGCCAATTAGCCCCTCGTGGGCTATCTATCATCTCATATCCAACGCATGCTTAGGAATTATTATTTCATTTAACTCCCTGGCGACCAATGCACCGATCAATTCGAAGCTTCAATATCCCTCACCACTTCCCCCGAGCAACCGACGGGCATTTGTCTGTCGGCCATGCTCACGTCGTGCGGAATTTAAACAGCTCTATCGTGAACGACAATACAAAAACAATTTAAAGTAAGCCTTACACGAAAGCTAGTTCTTAACACGATCATGCTTTATCTTAAATGGATTGCAAACGCTACTGATGTTTCGATCATCAGCGCGATCACCACATTAAATCGACACTTTGAATAATCCTTTCAACCCCTTCCGAGGTTAATACAAATTACATTTTTCGACTTTTTGTGAATTCGACAGCTGTAACATGTAAGCTTAGCCTATCAGTACAGCGAAGCGGTAATACACTGCAAGCCAGATTCAAGTAAAAGCTATCCGATTCCTAAGCAGTTAAATGCAGGAACGTCTTTTGTGCCGGAAATCAGAGAAACTTAGGACATATTAACAACATTAATAGGAGAAAATTTTGACCGAGAAGCTCGAATATTTACCTCATATTCAAAATCTGTCACACCACGGAAACGTTCTTTATACCTGTAGATTTGTAGTGTAATTCGAAAAGGACGCGACGTTTGACTGTGTTAAGACCTTGCTTCCTCAATCTGCCAGACAGATGTCTTAATAAAAGTCACTATAACTGATAAAGTACGAAATAAGACTCGACAGGTATGTTATGGAACGAAAAATTGCAATTAGAAGCAGCAAACGTGCTGACTCTGCTATTGTTTAAGTATTAGGTTCTGTTTGCAATAAAAGGGGGAGTCCCCTAGATCATGATTCTGCGCAAGCTTGAAGTTCATGACGGGCCGTTGAAACCGGAAGTGCTAAAACAGTAAATGGTTTGAACCGGGGGTTAGCCAGTAAGTGTGACTCGAGGGGTTGGAACTTGTTTAAAAAAAAAAATACACTGTCGATTCCTTATTTCGACAGTGTGTCAATAAAAGAATAACAGAGAAAGATTTCTGTTGAGCCTCAGTCTACTCTTGAATTAAGCTTCAGCCTCAGAGGTAATCTATCGTTCTCGCCACTGTTTGCTTTAAACATACAATGTATAACTACCTGAAATAACACTAAAAAAGAGTAAGAACACCGCTGATTACCAATTCCTCACAATGGAATGATCTACAGAAAACCTTAAAAGGATTACTTCAATAGAGGGACAAAATCCGTTTATGTTAGCAACTGTTCTCCTTCTGTTTTATCGAAAACGATATTTATTTAAATGTTCTAAGCGAAAGATATATAGAAATTACATCCATACATGTAGATACCTAAGAAACAGGAATGAGGAGATCGATTTTCCTGAAATATTGATTATTAAATACGTCATAACTAAATTCGATGTAACGATACATTCTTCCAAGAGCATCTTCGATGTATGCTGAAACATCAGTTTTCAAACTAGGTTTTGTTGTTTGCCCCTTTGCGTTGTACTGAATATCACGTTCCAGACTACTGTTAGAGCTAATTAATTTGATTTTATGAAAGCTAAAGGAAGGTGTTATTTAGTTAATGAGAAAGGAATACTCGGAGAAAAAGAACTCCGAATACTCTCTGTACGAGTCATCCTCGAGACTCAAGGGTTGTAAGTCGATTTAAGTCAGGGAAAAAGAGCCCCAGTAAGAAAATTTCCCTAAGGACTCTCCCGCCCTAAATTAAAATCTACTCACATCTCCTGGGTCCCCAAGGATGAATAGGAATCGAATTCGAACCTTCGACCTTCCGATTAGTATTCGGATGCTCTGCCACTGAGCTATAACAGACTAGTGACAGGTTAGGCCGTTTATCTAGGTCTGTGGTGACAAACTTCCTGTATACTGCGAGGATAGGAATGTGAATATGTAATGCTTATGCCCAGTGATTATGTAAATGAAGATGGTGAAAATGGGCATCGCAAAAGTTAGAATGAAAGGTAAGCAGAAAAAAATTTCGACTCTCATTTCTAAGCAGCTTTCAACTATTCTTAGCAAATTTTCGTCTACCAAGTAATACACTTTATTTTATCTTTTCTCCATTCTAGATCAATATATGCATGGTAAGCTAAACATCTTGAGATATTAGCCATCATGTCCTTGTTTTTGGTACTCAGCGTAGCAGAACTTGTCATTTTACGATTCAACTTAGTGGTCTTCCTCTGTGGCGTAAGTTTTGCAAAGGTCAGTAATTCTCTCATGTGTCTTACTTTCATCTCAGTTAGAGTTTTTACCATATGTTGAACGAATTTTTCCGTAAGTAACTTCATTTCATCAACATTTTTTTCCTTCACCGTCGACAAACCTGTAAACAACGTTGAACGGTGAGTTAAAATTTGTTACTGTATTAACGATTTTTGTCTTGAAAGGGAATGGCTGAGGAGATATTTTCCAAGTAGCCTGTTTTTGACATGAAAAAAAAAAATTCCCTGGTTTCAAATCAAACACAGAGCATAAGAAGATCGTAAGCTTTAGCGCGCACTATTCCAAGCGCGGGTCGAATGTATATCTGAATTGCGTTGGATTTATAATTTCGTATTCTCTTCAATTAGCTAGTTTCGAAACACCCCCCCCTCCCTTCTCTCTCAACCGAGAATAAGTAAGAAAAATAAATCGTGACTGACAACCCATTCATACTTGCAAAACATGTTAAGTCAACCAAGTTTAACGAAATGAAAATCAGAAACAGATGACTGGAAAACTGAATTTTCCAAAGGATTCAAGTAATCACTATCTTTTCTTTTCAATATGCTAAAATCGACGTCGAAAAACATCTATCTAAGCAGCTTTGATGATTGAAACACGTTTAAACCGTGTTTAACAAAACAGCTATGAAACATTTTTTTTAGCTTTAAAGTTAAGGAGTTATGAGTTTCTCGCTTCCTTTTGCGTTCGGCGAAGTGTTTTATGCATCTACTTTAAGTTCCCATTTTCTCTTTGAGGTATTTCTTTTGTTATGATTGGCGACTACAGTTAACGTTATTTCGCGTTTGGTTTCAGGACACTTGAAATCGAAATGTGTTCTAATCAGTATAATTGGTTATCACTTACTGCAGGCTTGAACTCTTTCCCGCTCTCGTGGTCTCCAGCTTGCTTCAAAGAGCAGCCCCAGGGCGGCAGCTGTTATTGCACAAGCAGCTATTATGATAAGTGTGCTTTGATAAAGGTCACTTTCTTTGTCAAACAAACCAGTCGAGATATCTTTAATATCTTCCCTGTCGCTCAGTCCTGATCCCTGTGGCGTAAGAACAATCTGAGTTGTTCATTACCGCCAAAGAAATTATGCTTACCGTTAAAAGAAAATGAAAACGCTGAGGAATTTCATCATAGTGATATGAGTCCTTTTGTTTCATTTATAGAATTGCGAATCTTTCCTGTGCGTATTTTGGCTTGTGATTTCGAACAAACATCGTCTTCAAAATCGCCGTCTGAAGTATTTCTTAAACAGAATGGTAAATTTTGGTTTCATATGAAGGCAGTTAAACGAGGAAATCGTTCTCAAAGTTGCTTATATCCATTGGATGTTTGAAATAACGGTTGAGCGAGAAAGCGGGACAAGGCAGATGATGTTCATGGAAGTCATTACCTTTTAGAAAGCAATCCCATTCTCCTTTAGGCTTACTAATTAAGGGCAGGTAACACTTTTCTAGCTATTAAAAGGATGCTAAAAAACATCTAAATAAAGCCCGGTAAAAGACGTGATTAAGACTCATACCTACCTTTATAGGTTCGACAAGTTGGTCAACATATTGAAAGATCTCTGCTTGATGCGAGCGCATGTAACCATGGAACACTTTCTAAGGCGCATCGAATCTCCACTTATGACTACCCCATACGCGGTTTGGTAATCAACGATTTGGGTCACTCGAATTGAAGGCTTAGAAAAGAGATCTTGGCGCATTCCACCAGCGTATGTATCTACCAGGATACCTTCGACTTCTCTGTTGACGAGAGCGTCGGAGAGTTCTTCTAACGAGTGATAGTTTTTCTCTGAAGAGAGGAGATAAGATTCTTTTTAGCTAGGTCGTAGTGACGATACAAATCAAGATTTGATTAAGACTGCGTGCTACGTGTTGATCATGGGTATTTCTCCGGTGTCTCTTATTTAAGTGTCGAAAGAGCAATTATAACGTGGAATTAAATAAACTTTGGCCCACTTCGCTCCGTGATTTGATAAGAATACTTGAGTCATCCTCTAAAACAATCATTCGAAACTATATATAATCTCATTTTTAGCGTTTCAGGCAGTTTATATTGAAACTTTTTGAATAAAACTATCAAAAAAGATTCGTCGCGTATGTCAAAAATATGACAAGTCTATTGCAGCTCCTAATTACTAAGTTAACGAATATTTGTTTTTTCAAACATTGATTTTGACTCAAACCTTTGTTTAAAATCGCATTTCGCCTGATTCCAAGATAGTTATTAGATTATTTTGTAAGTTCTCTAGCATCCCCAGGAGAGCACATTCCTTGTTTCTGCAAATATATTGAGACAAGTTATCCGTGGAACAAGGGTATTTTAAGGGACACAGTCTCATAATGTAATTTTCTCTTGCATGAAGTAACGACCGTCACTGTTGTTGCCTAGGGGAGGAGAAGAGGGGGTTTGGTTGTGCCATGATGAAATTTGTGACCCATCATTGGTAGTCAACTTTCCATATTCCCCCTAGTATTCTCTATTGGGGAAGATTGATCCCCTCCCGTCCCCCCTGAAAACTGTGTGATCCTTCCAAAAAAAAAAAATTCTCCACCCCCACTCCCCAGGTGACAAATAACGATCAGTCCTTAATCAGGTAATAGCTACCTTGGATCCATATATTGTGGTTTTGCTATGTGCAGTTATCTCCGTCAGCGCTGTTGTTAAAGCCGCTATGGTTATTGCGATTATGACGAGACCTGTCAACACCCAACCCACAGCAAAAATGCGACCCAATTGGCCGATTGGGGAACGATCACCATAGCCACAAGGAAAAAAAAAACAATTTAAATATGTTGGGACATGGGAAACTGAGTAAACCTTACGTAGGCAGGACCTAAGGCTAAACTTCCTGCGAGGGAGACATGAAAAACCCCACATAGTTTTGGCTCAATCTTTAAACCACATGTAAAGTTATACTTTCCCAAGTATGGGGAACAAAGTGTGCATGCATCTTGGCCCCCTCGAACGTTGGCTATTATTAGCTGTATGCAAATTGAATATTGTAAATTTATCTACAACCACTACGTAACAGTGTGTGGTGCCAAAGTACTGCCAAAGGTCACACCTGTTATCTTCATGTACATTTTTTAAATGGTTAACCTACTAGCCAACGGATAAAAACTAAAATTGCGGATGGAGTCAGAATTAAAGGCTTGATTTATGCAATTTAGACAATGTAACGATTTAAGCCTGCTAATAGTTAGTATTGGCGTTGTATTCTATATCATTTCCGATTACCACTCGATCTGAAACATACCCAACGGTTGTCATGGATACGAACGCCCACCACACTCCTTCCCAGGCTCCGTGGATAAAAGAGGTAGGGAAATGCTGATTGTTAGATTTTGTATCCTTTAAATAAATGAAAAAACGAATAATGAACATATAAACAAAACAATTAAATAAATGCAGAAAAAAAAGGAAAAGAAAAAATGTGTTGTAGCAATATGTTGAAATACTTTTGTAATGTTATCTCTCGTTTACAAGGAGCACTGCATGTGTGTCAATGTGAATCAAATTTTGTAATAGCCACAACTGACCAGTAACCACATTATCAGCCCCGCAATGTAAGCCATCACCAAAGACAGCACCACAACAGGCCAGCACGCCTCGAGCGTTACAAACATGGCGTGCTTCGCATCAGAGGAATCCTGGAAAGTCAGAAACGCCACCCCAGCAGACTCAACAAACGGTGAATACTCCAATCCTCCCCTGTAACTGTTCTGCAACTTGTAGCCGTTAACCGGAAAGGAAAAATCCGTCTGGTTATCAATATTTTCCAGAAGATACTCTGACCTGTTTTGCTCCGAAGTCCCATTATTTCCACTGCGGCTGAAGTCCAGTTCTGATTTTCCATGTGCACGGCACTCCCCACAGCATTCATTGATTACTTCTTCGAGAAGACGTGGTATGATAACGCCAGGACTGCTTAAAGACTTCAGATCGACATAGGGAGGGTAATTTCTCCAGTTTGTCGTTAGATGCTTATAGCAACGGCAAGTTTCTATGGAGACAGAGGAAGCGGAAATAAAGGCGTTTGTGCAATCTTGCTGTGTATAATTTCACGCGTGATTAACGTGGTGGCTTTCTCTTCATAGTCAGAGCTCACCAGAGAACGATGGAGGGGGAATTAACCGCACAGGCGTTACACCCATAAAAGGCAGGTAGGGGGTGGGGTGGGGATGGGTCTATTACAGAGGTCCTTACCCATGTTTTACTGGTCAGAAGGGGATTGGTTAACAAATATATAAAGTCTATCTCCACCTACCTCCAAATGTGACACCTTTGGGTCCAGGTCCCTGGTTCGATATGGCTGCCACGGTTATTTTATACACTACAAGTGGTTCCAGATCTCGAAGTATCATAGAAGTGTTCTCATTCCCAATGTCGATGCACATCACTGGCTCGAAATACGCGGGCAGGTCTCCAATGGAAACATCTTGATAAGTAACTCGGTAACCGACATGTCGACCGTGTATGAATTCTTGAGGGACTGGTTCCCAAGAAATGGGAATTTCTGCAAGACTCGTGTGGTTTTTTGCTGTTATTTTTGAAGGCGGTCGACTTGGTACTAAGAACGAAAAGGTGCAAGACGGGTTACATTTCATTTCTATATCAGTAAGTGATAGGAATAGCACACATACACAGATATATATATGTGTGTGTGTTTGTGTGGGGGGGGGGGAGGGGAAAAGGGGGTATTGTTCAACTTTGACTTTAAAAAATCTGCTCCGTGACACTTTGCAAAAAGCAGTAAAAAAGTTGAAATGCACTTAGCAATCTTTCGTCTATTTGGTAGGATCCTGCGATTACCAGAATCTAGTACACGGGGACCCAAGACCTTTTAATTAAAATGGTCTTGTCAATAATAGTAGTAATGAGAAATAACGATTCCGAGATATCATCTAAAAGCAACAAAAAAGAAACACAATGGCCAACAACACAATAGCTAATAGCCAACAACAAGCATGATAGAGAGCGCGTTTTTCGGTTGAGTCTGGTAAAACCAAAACCAGAGTAATTATGAGGGTCCATCAGAAAGAAGAAAAAAATCAGAAGATGCCAATGAAAACTCGAGGTATAAACAGATTAACTGTCTAATGCGGAGATAGGATATCGGTGAGGGATATCATATGATTAATAGGTTTTATGGAAATCGATCTCCACAAAAAGTTTGTAAAGCTGAAGTTTCGAGTGATAGTCCTTCGTTAGAGTCGACGCAATACCGGATTACTTTCAACAACCAAGTTACTAATTTAACCGCAATTGCTTCTTGATTGATTCAGTTTACATCATGAAATTAAAGGTCAAAAATAAATCAACAGTTTTTTTTTATACCCGTTAAAACAAAATAAGACACTCTTGCATTATTTCTGACACTTAATTAAAAATTACTTCAGATGTGAAAATAAATGTCGTTATATTAACGCTATGAACATGATAGCTCATCTGAAACACCCAAAGCTCTTGTGGTAGAACATTACCTTCGTTTTCAGCGCGGCGTTTTCCTCATTTTTCAAGGGAAATGAATTCGCCACCGCTAGAGTAATTAGCAGGATAACAAAGCGCTTCATATTCTTTTTTATGAAAACTAAAATCATAATAAAACACGTCAGATGAGTAATCACTTTTATCCAGTGGGTACCATTGAAGTATCCAGGACTATGTGATCATCTATCCTGAGTTTTACTTATGGGGAAGACACCCCTTTTGGTGATGCTCTGCGCTTTCAAAACACTAGATGCAAATCGATTACCCGGAAATATGGAACATTGGGATCCCTAAAAAAGCTTCCAGGGATAACTTTAAACAGACCGATATCTCAGGTGAAAGCAGCGGCAACATTCTTGGTCGCTTTGTCCGAATAGAGTGGTTAAAATTTAACTCTTGATTTTAAACTATAGGCTCCAAGAGGTTACTTAAGTCACAGAATTAGTACCAAATTCTGATGTGGCTGACTACGGCGAAATTAATTAATAATTTTCAAGAGGCTTTATTTAATGAAGTACTATTCCCCCCCTTATTGCAAAGTTGTATCCTTAGGCCGTAATAGTTTTCCAACACACAACCGTTTAGACCAAATAAGAGCCTCCCTTTTAGATCACGAGAAAGTAATTTATATGCTCATTACTCCTCATTTGGCTTTTTGTGTTTTTTATTTCTATTAGCTCTTTTCCGTGGCAACGTTTTTAAAATTAGGTTGTGTAATGATTCAAGGCCAGATAAAGAAGTTTTTTTAAATTATTTAACCTTACTGTGGCAGAGACAAAGCTGTTTACCTTTGCCAGCTCACGATACACCATCCTCAGTTTTTCTTTTAAAGTGCAATTTATAACAGACTAACAACACACTTCTGTTTACATTCAAATCCTGCAGGGTTCATAAGGTTTAGTATATACCTCGAAAGTCATGCAATCTTATAATATCATTTTCAAGGCCTGGGAAAGTTTAAAAGTGGACGAGTCCTAACATTGATATACGACATGTGACTGTCTTCTGTCGCTTTTTGCGCCGAAATTGTGCAGAAGTTGCGAAAATTGTAAGTTCGCTTCACGCACTTTTTTTTTGTGCGGGATCAAATCAGGGAAGATGGGCCCATCCTTGCCGCTCAGGCAGCCAATCAGGAAACAGGATTCGCTTCATATTTCCCACGGACGCTGCCAGCTATATAATAAACACGGTTATTAGCCAGTTATAATTGCCTCTAAACCCTGATGAAAAACCATTTTCATCAGTTTAATTTTTGTCGAGGGGCATGATTGTGTATAAACCTTAAAGTATGCAGAGCCTCATAAGCATTTGCAAGCAACTTTCGGAGATCTTAACGTGACAATTTACACTCAGATTCATTTTGAAACCCTAACCTCTGTTTAACTTGTTCATCCGTTCCTTTAAATTTGGAGATACGTAAAGATCCTCCCAAACTAGCACTAACCCTTTGCCCCCCGAGGTGACTGGTTTCTGATTTCTTTTTACGATTTCACCCTTGAATCAAACATTAAGGTCATGAGAATAAAGGAAATGATTCCCAATTTCAGAAGCTCCTGATTGTTAATAAAATTCTCCTTGTCAGTGCCATATGAAATGTAAAGAGAAAAGTCAGGAGTAAATAATATCATTTGTAAGGTGTGAAGGGTTAAATAAATGAATACGCAAACACTGAACTTTGCTCCTTCGTAATCCTTTCTTTGCTTCTTAGTGCCATTTCTTTATCATTAGAATTATTAAGCATTGTTACAAAATTGAGTCTTAGTGCTGTTTCTTACTAAAGCTTAACAAATTAAGACACTTTCTTCTTTACATTTCCCCATATCATTGGAGCGTTGAACTTTAACGTCGGCCTGAAATATGAGCGAATTTACCAAGATAAGAGATCGATATGGAACCGGAAATTTGTTAGGAAAAGAAACAATTAAGTTAGCACGGGTTTCATCCATATGTACTACTAAGTAGTTCCCTTGTGGGTCTGAAATATGAAAAAAAAAATCAGCAGCGTAAGAGATTCGGAGCTGAAAAGTGTAGCTCACTTTAAAGAGCTTAAAAAATTAATGCCGAAAAAAAGCACATAATTTCCGTTTCCAATTATCAGTGCACCCAGCTATAAGAAGGGGTCCTACTTATCTTAACCTCTGATTTCTTGTTTTTATAAATTGCCCGCCATTACCAGACTAATGGGTGCGTGAATGGAAGGATGGGTTAGTATATAAATGGAAAGATGGATGGATGGATGGATAGATAAACAACGGGGGTGGGGTGCGGAGGGTAGTTTTATAGAGTGAGAGATCACACTCCCAAAACTCCCCGCGGCGCGCTAACTTCATTTTCCTGTCTCATTGAATTTTTTGGAATCGCTCAACGAAGTTCGCCGAAAAGGAGGGACTGTTCGTAGTCAACAACAACAACAACAACAACAACAACAACAACAAGAAGCATGTTTACCCCATTCCTTATGAACATGGCCATCGATGTCCAAATTCGACTTGCCATTTTTATGCTCAAAATCGAGGTTACCTCCGTAGTCGATGCCATTGATGCCCCAACCCCGTTTACTATTTTCTTGTCCTCCGCCGACACTGACATCCATTGATGACCAACCAACATTGCTGCCCCAACCACTTTGTCGCGCGGGATGGTTAAGAGGTGTATCTGCAAAGGTAATTGATAACGTGTGAAATTGTCATTGCTCTATTTTTCATTTTGAAAATTAAAAATTTGAATTGATCTCTAGCAACAAAGAATTACTGATGTAGCAGTATTGGTTAACAGTTTTCTCTTCTGGCCCGCGCGAGTTACGCACAATTTTTGGAGCACTCATATCTATGCGTCAAACTCACATCAACGCAGTGCTTTTAGAAAGTAGGTTTATCTCAGCTACGTTCATCATTCATAGATCGAATTTTTCTTCTACAAATCCAGAAGAATTGAAAACTGCTAAAACCACATGTGAGTGTGGGTGTGTGTGATTATGTGTGGAAGGGGTGGAGCGGGGGGGAGGCGGTATCGTCGTTCAACTTTGACTTTAAAAAATGGCTCCGTGACACTTTTCAAAAAGCCGTAAAGCAGTAAAAAAGTTGAAATGCACTTACCAATTATTGGTCTGTTCGGTAGGATCCTGCGCTTACCAGCATCTAGTACACGGGGACCCAAGACCTTTAAATAAAAATGGTCCTGTCAATAATGGTAGTATTGATATGTAACGATTTAGTGATATCATCTGAAAGCAATCAACACCATCACGACTTATATTGTAGCCTTTTTGATTGAGTATCATGGAACAACAACAACAACAAAAAAGGAAATAAAAAATAAATCACACAATACAATAGCCAATAGTCGACATCAAGCATGATAGAGAGCGCGTTTTTCGATTGAGTCTGGTAAAACCAAGACCAAACGGAGGAAGAAAGAAGGAAATATCAGAAGATGCCGATGAAAACTCGAAGTATAAACAGATTAACTATCTAATGCGGGAATAAACAGGAAATAATGAAGTCGTGATTGGTTTTAGTTTTGCATTTGATTGGTTGATAGATTGTCGTGAATGTCTTAGACCACACACAAGGAGAAGTGAAGCAAAGCTAATGCAATCCCTGAATAAAGACGGTAAGTTTCTAAAGAATATGTAGTGATGACTCTGCGAGGGATATCACATGATTAATTGGTTTTATGGAAAATCGATCTCCCTTAAGTTTCTAAAGGTGAAGTTTCGAGTGTTAGCCCTTTGTCAGAGTCGACGCAATGCGTGATTACTTTCGACGACCAAGTTGCCATTTAACTGCAATTGCTTTTTAATTGATTGAGTTTACATCATGAAATAAAAGGCCAAAAATAAATCAATAGCCTTTTTTTTGACCCGTTGAGATAAAATAAGACACTCCTGCATTATTTCTGACACTTAATTGAAAATTGCTTCAAATGTGAAAATAAAATTTCGTTAACGCTATGAACATGATGGCTCATCTGAAACACACGAAGCTCTTGTGGTAGAACATTACCTTCGTTTTCAGCGCGGCGTTTTCCTCATTTTTCAAAGGAAATGAATTCACCACCGCTAGAAAAATCAGCAGCATAACAAAGCGCTTCATATTCTTTTTTTGAAAACTAAAATCATAATAAAACACGTCAAATGAATAATCACTTTTATCTCTGGGTACTTGGTTGACTTAGTTCTCACTGAAGTTGTGACCATTAAAGTATCCAGGACTATGTGATCATCTATCCCGAATTTTGCTTATGGGGAAGACATCCCTTTTAGTGATGCTCTGCGCTTTCATAAATACCAGTCGATTACCCGGAGATATGGAACAATGGAGCCCCTAAAAAAGCTTCCAGGGATAATTTTCAACAAAATGATATCCCATGTGGGAGCAACGGTAACATTCTTGGTCGCTTTGTCCGAATAGACTGGTTAAAATTTAATTCTTGATTTTAAACCACAGGCTCCAAGAGGTTACTTAAGTCACAGAATTAGTCCCAAATTCTGATATGGCTGACTACGGCGAAGAAGTAAGCATGACCTAGGTAGAGGAAGCTTGTAAGGAAAGGTCAGATGGAAAGGAAATAGATTTGACCGCTTCCCCTTAATTTGTTCGTAATACAACTTTATAAACTGAGTAATGAATTAAGTCAGATTATACAGAACCAAGAAAAAGAGCAGATCCAGTAGTTGCCTTACCTTGGGGTGAATTCTGGACGCTGTTGTCTTGCTTCGTAAGAGCACGGAGTGAATATGGATATTACTATACACGTATCTTTTATAACAGCCCAACATAACTAATTAGCACTATTAATGCCTGATGGTATCTAATAGTTTCGTACCGAAGGAAGTTTCGTACCCATACGGTTGCTTATCGGACGTTTCTTACCCAGACGATTCGTACCCAAAGCTAAGATGATTCATACCCAAAACTAAGTTGATTTGTACCCAACTTCCTGTTTGATAATAAAACATTTTTAATTTTATCTCTCTCAAAACAATCTAAAATAAACATTTATATAAATCAGGACTAGTTACCTACGAAATTTCGACATGGAACTTACCTTCCACATCATGGCCTGATATTGCTATTATAAAACAATTTACATGTCGATGTTAGGACTTTATCGAATCATAAACTTTACAAAGTGGTATATTGTTAGTTGTATTTTGTTAAGTCGTGCACTTTCACGCGGGTTAGATCAAATTAACCACCATTCACTTTCTTTGTGTAGACTCGTGACTCGTGTGTAGACATATGCCTATACTAAAGAAGGTGAGACTTCTGCCCTTAACACGTATTATTAAAAAGACATTCTTTGATGTATGTCAATTAACAAAGGTAGTAAACAACATCAGCAAGAAGGTTGAGCAAAATTGATCAGTTTAAAACTTAAAGAAATAGTCAGTATATAGTATATATATATATATATATATATATATATATATATATATATATATATATATATATATATATATATATATATATATATATATATATATATATATATATATATATATATATATATATATATATATAGGAAGTCTACAGGTCGATTTTCGCGTGTAAACCCCTGAAGAGTGAAGCGATTCACGAAACAGGCTTGTCGGGATATGTAGTTGCGTCGTTTTTTCCTCTCATAATTTTTATATATATATATATATATGTTAATACGTATTTCTAGTATATTATTTCTTTTTTATGTTTAATCAAGAAGCGGGTATCACTCAGACAACTCAAATGTCCCCGCTTGTGATAAGACATGATTGATTATGTTTTTTCATATGCATATGTAATCACATATATTAAAGACCTATAGCTATACACCCATTTTCAAAAAAGCTTCAAATCGAAATATATAGCCTTTTCAGCAGAATTTAGCAAAAATTAGCATTCTATCTTTCTTTGAAGCTGCATTAATGAAATAGCGTCGACATCGTCTTTTCTTTCAGTTCATGTCAAACTCTTCCTAACAAGATTAACAGCTTCCGAAAGCGGAAGAAATTCAGTTCCAACGGAAGTTTCATTACCCATATTTTGTTTGATGACAAAAAAATGCTTTTTGGAAAACTTGAATGTCACAGATTAATATTTAAAGGAAAATTGGAGCAGAGAAGCAAATCCGATTAATCGAAAAATCTGGATGATCGAGGATGTTAGTGTGGGTACGAAACGTCCGAGGGTACGAAACGTCCGAAGGTACGAATCCACTCAAAGCTGCCAGATCATTCCACGGTTTAACTTCTCTTGACGGAAATTGAAACGTGTTCCACAGGAAGGAAGGAAAACAAGCACTATAATGTTAATCATAGATTCGTAAGTATTTTGTTTTTATGCAACAGTTGAGAGCGCTCGACATTCGATTCATTCTTTGCGACTTGTCTGTTGATATGTGATCCCCTAGTAAACTGTTTTAGGATCTTCTTGAAAGTAATTTTGAATTTAGTTTTTGGGCATCAAACTATATCGTAATTCAAGACGATTGAATTCAGGTTTTTATCTTATATCAAGACCTCATCAATTAGCTTTGCAACCACTAAATTATGGGTGAAGCTTGAAAAATCATACAAAAAAAATGGAAGTGGATATGAAAGCGATCTTCGCAATAAAGAATACTACTTAAGCAGTTGTAAAATAAGGTCTGAGGAACAAAAATTTCAGGACTATACAGGATTTGAACTCATGGCCTCTACGATACCGATTCAGTGCCCTGCGAACTGAGCTAACAAGCTAAGTTTCTGATGAGGGTATCACTTCCTTGAATTTCTGTGATGTTTTTGCACGAGTCCGCAAGGGAAGTGAAATTTGTTGTCTTTGAAAATTGCACGTTGCACTAACTTGCAAGAGAAATCATGTTATTACTTGCTAATAATCCACAAGAAAAAACTTAATGGAAAGTCAAGACATGTACAGTCGAAATTTTGAAAGCGTGCGTGCGCTATTTGTAATTTACACTCGTATTACAACTTTGGACTCGTATTACACGAGAATGCATTCGTTTTCAGCCAATTAGAAGCGCGCGTTCATGTACAATATCAAGCGAGCAATCGGCCTTCAAATATTTTTTGACCTCTCCTCCCGATACCAAGCTCGATAAGACTCTCCCTCTAAGGAGAACAAAATAACTATGGAAACATGGAGCTACGCTCCATTTCAATCTTTTATCCGAGTTCTTTGCAATTATTCAGTTATAATTATCATCAACTGTTGCAAAATCGAGTTTAAAAGTTTTTTTTCCGTGTTGGAGCTGAACAAGTTAGGACAAGTCTCATTCATATTTTTCCATATCATTCGAGCCTTGACCTTTTCCTTCTCCGAAGTCGTTCATGGCTGGAACTGAAATGTGAGATAATTCACAAAAGTAAGAGATCGATATGGAAAGTATAATTATCTTTACGTAGCTTAAATAGCAAAAAAGACGCCACCGTGAAAGAGCTTAAAAACAAAAACAGTACGGATGGCTTGTTGTTTGGATCCATAAAAAAAGATTAATGAATAAACACCAACAATATCCTTGATCGTTTACGAGACACCAATAAAGATTCTCCAAACGTGAAAAAAGTATCTTTAACGATTCCATTTGAAAAAAACAAAGCTGTTGTATTTCCGACATTACCTTCCTTTTCAACGAAGAGTCTTCATCATTTTTCAAGGGAAATGAATTCACCACCACTAGAGTCATCGGTTCATATTCTGCTTTTCTTTTAAAAAAAAAATCGGAGCAAAACAAAGTGTTACTTCAAACACAGAATTGTTCGTAAGTTGTGTTCATTACCCACTCCGTCTAGGAACTATGAAATGAAAACATTAAAGAAAGCTCGGAAAAGATGAAATGCCACTGAAATAGATTAAACCTGCCCTAAAATTGCAGACAAACTGCATTTAACTTGCCCAGATGGTATGGAAGCGAGGAAATACCTTGCAATCTTATTATTGATAATTAACTTCAGAAAAATTCTGGACTTTGTATTCCCGGATCTTGTGAGAGCCAATAATGATATGGGGAATGCTAAAAGTATCTGATGTTTTTATAACAACCAAACAATACTTATTCACATTTTAAGTGCCTAATCAACCAATGGTGATAATGGAAATTATATCATGTCCCACACAGGAAGGAAACATTACAAGGGGTTGTATATATTGATGGTGAATTCACAAGTATTTTGTTTTCAAGTTACAGTTGAGCGCGCGCACGACATTTGATATGTAACATCGAATTAAAAAAAAAATTTAAGATCCCCTGGTTGATTGTTTCGAAGTTAGTTTTTTTTTATATTACGACCTCAATGAACTGTAGGTACTTTTAATAAGTTTATATGTAGATGTACGTTACAACTATTGATAGCCTTATGAGAAATTATAATTGAGGTTTTGAATGTCAACGCTATGATTTTCTTTTTTCTTATAGGGAATAACTACTTGCCACATTCGAATGAGCGCACGTAGAAATGACATTACTCCTCTCCAAACGTCTCTCACTTTTTTTTCTTACCTCGTTAACTATCTTTGTACACGCTCTAGAAAAACATTCAATTCCTTACAAGGAAAGTTTTTTTTCATGGAGATGGTAACTTGGCCCAACATTAATTCAACGTTTTTCTTGCAGTCAAAGGACACTTATTAGCATAATAAGTACTTGATAGTCCCTCCATGGATGGTTTCAAAGGGGGAATGTGGGTGGGAATATTTGAAAAAAACAAGTTTACATTAGCAAAGAAATCATAGGAACGCATAGAATGTCGTGCGCGCGAAATAGTAAATTATGAAAGCAAAATATTTTGGTGACAAAAAACTAAATTTAAATTATCTATAGAAGATCATAAAATAATTATCAAGGGAATCTTGCATCAACAAAGAAGTTCTCGGAAAGACAATAATATTGCGCGCGCGCTCGACTTTATATTGAAAACAAAGTACTCATGAATCTAGGATCAATATTTGTAGCTTTAAGTGATGTCTCCTTCTTAATTGGGACGTGGTACAATTTCTGTTATGGGAAGCCAACCATGAGGTGCGATTGGGCGTTAGAAATGATAATTAGTACTGGACCGCCTTCGTCTCTTCGCATTGTTACTAAATTTAGAAGGTAGATTTGAGGGGCTCGA